GAGACGGAAATATAATTCAGTTTATATATTTACCTAGTCTCGATTCTAACTATATCCGATAGTAAAATCCGTTAATTACTTACTTTAAGCTATAGTAGTTAATAGTAAAGACTAAAAGAATATAGGTAGTTATTTCGAAGATATTATAAAGGTAGAGGAATAGAATATAATAACTCTACTCGAGCCAAAGGATTTAGATATATTCTACGCTATTATTTTTAATCTCTTGCTAAAGATTATTAGAGTTCGCTAGTATTAGAAGGTAAGCTATAGCTTTATATATTCGAGTTAAGTATAAGATAACTATATAGACTATATTATATATAAGATATCTTATACTCGACGCAAGTAAGAAATAATCTAATTAAAGACTCTAGAGTAATTTAGAAGTTATAGGCGAAGCTTTATAACTAAGCTTTAGGTCGAGTAAGATTCATCCTAAGATCTAAAGTATACTCTCTAAATTTAGAGTCTAGAAGATATATTAGATATCTTACGAAGTTAGCTTATTTCCTCGCAGCCCTAACCCTAAATAAGAAAGTATTTACTTATAACGACGTTAGAGCCTCCTCGATTTTCTATACGTTATTAATTCCTAGAGCCCTTACTCTTCTCTTAAGCGAATATATTTATATATACGCCAAATATATCCTCGCTATAGTATCTCCGCCGCCGAAATAGTTATATAATATCGTAAAAGCTAGTAGAATCTCTCCCTTACTAAATCTATACTAGAGATCTCAAAGAAGTCCGGTATTTATAGTCCGCGTAACGAATACTATTAACGCCTCTCTCGATCTCGTTCTATCTACTCTCTTAGATACCTCCTTATAGCCGCGATAGAATAATTTTATACCCCGCGCCACCCTTAAGCTCTCTATATCTACTTTCGATAGCGATAGACTCCGCCCTAGTATTATCTTTACCGAATATATAGATATACGCGATAAAGGTAAGAATATAATCGCCAAGATAAAGCTACTTATAACTTTACTTAATAATCTAAACGAAGATAATAGACGGAAAGGCTTTAGAGTCGTTTAGCTAGGGAAAGAGTATCCTAACTCGGCGCTAAGATTAGAACGAGTCTATAAGATTTTCCGTAATAAGGAAGGGGAGATAGTTTATAATATCTACGAGATATTTAGTAGACTATTAGGTTAGGCGGTTAGGGTACTTATAGGAGAGACGCTTATAAAGAGATTTATATAGTAGGATAGAGAGTTAAAGGAGTACGTAGAGGGGATAGATAATAGGAAGGATTAAGGATAAGAGACTCTATTTGGCCTATCCTTAGGAGGAATCTCTATATTATAGTACGATACCTACTAGATAGTATAGTAGGCGCGAGATAGTATTAAATATAGATTCGAATCCGAAGAGGGCGAAAGGTAGAGGGGTTAACTCCTTAGAAGAGATATAGTAAGATATTCTAGACTTTCTCTATAAATAAGATTACTATTAAATTTACTTATTTATTCTTCTATAATATCGACCTCTTAATTATCTATAAAGCTGCTATGTTAATTACTTTGCTTTGTACTCACTCCACAGCCTTAGCAGCTGAAGGCGACAAAAATCTGCCCCTCGTTCATTCGACGCTCGCCCAGACGCTGCCGCTTTAGCGAGCGCGCTGGGTAAGCAGTAGTGATCCGGCACCCGACCCTGGCTGGTCATCTCGAGAGCCATTTTTAGCTGTGGAAGTGCACACTATAGTGTTCGGTCTTCCTAATCCTTTTCAATGATCTCAGAACTGACGGGTGATGCCATAGAATTCGCCTCAGCCAAAAAAAAAGCTCCCAACGAGCCAGAACGATCCGACCTCCGATTGCGGCACGCTTTTCCCTTCCCTCAAACAGAAATATGGCTACAATAGCCATTATAACAACAAAGGCAAAGCCAACTAAATGCCTGATTCGAAATAATATAGAAAGAGGAAGGGCCGGCTGCCCGGATTTTGTTAGTGCACGGATGGGATAGCGGACGGCTGGCTTACTACGTAGAATCTTTTCACATCTCTACAATAATGCAAGTGATGAAGGGGAGAAGTTATGCTGATATTATAGAAGAAAAGGTGCATGTGTTCTTTGTGTAAGCTGCTCATGTAACTGTCCGCTCCTTGCAGTACCAAATCAAAAGCATTTCCCGGGATTACCTTCCACCTTCCTTTCGACCAGTCTAATTCCACACATGGACGGGACTGCCCATGTAATAATCCAGGGAGCGTCCGCAAACGGCGGTGACACGCTGGCCTTCGCAATCGATTTTCCACGGTGGCGGCTGCAAGCACTATGAACTCAGTCACTTCTTCACTTCTTGACGGCCTCTCAGCCAACGGATATTCGTAGAACCCTGGCTACACAACACCTAGATCCATCATCATCTGTTGAATCATGTAAGCTCCATAACACCTCTCTGAATGATGATTGGTCTTTATGTAGAAAACCTTTTTGTTCAACACATCACATAGGATAAATTGTTGAAGAGATGTGTTACCCCTCAGCTATCTAAGAAGCTCCAATCTCTCAGGTAGATTGAACACATCTTACCTGCTTCCACAATTCTGATACGGGGTTTTCCTGTATATTCATGATAGTAGTATTTGTGGTAAGATTCTTGATTGTTCTATGGCATGGATGAGCATGATAAGCAAGCTTATAGGGCTGAATGCTGACTAAGCTGAAGTTGACCAAATCCAGCCCTGTATCAAATTCTTTATCATCCACAACACTTGCCGGGTCTAACTCTGCCGAAGTGAAGCACGTCACTCTGTAACAACACATTTAGCCCCGAGATACCAAGATTTACCACGCCGAGCACTCACAGACAGATAAGGCATAACTGTCTTTGGTGGACCGTGACCTTAAATTGTTCCATGTATTACAGAAGAATTCCCCACGGAGCTTGTGAGACAGCTGCAGAGCTATTGGAAGGAGAGATGGTCACAAATGGAGGTCTTGAAGAGATGAGCCTCACCGATGAAGGTGAGTAGAGATCTGGTTCAGCGGGTGAAGACTTTGAAGATGCCTTTAAAAATCGAGATGCAGCTGCAATTGCTAACGAAGTCGGATAATCTATAGATGAAGAACATGAAGACTCTAACAACGAGGCCGATGAGAATAAGATTATTTCAGGCTCTCCAAAGACAAATGATAGGCTTCTAAGAGAAAAATCGGTCAGTGTAACTATAATTAAATTTAAGCACAGTTCTGCTGATATCAATCGATTTGTAGCTGAAAATACGGTTTCAAGGACAATTTGAACGAGATTGGACTCTACCAACACCATTCGATGTCTTTTTGAGCAAACAGGAACCAGATCCTGTCACATACTTAAAGAAATTGTGCGAGCATGTCATTGTGCATCGTTCTTTGGAGTATATTCTTGAAAAGATACCGAAAACAGGGCCATGGGTACACGACGCCATAACTCAATTCAGGGAAAAAGAAGGACAAAAATGCCTTTTAGCGCTAGGTTTTTGCCCACAATATCGCGAGGACAATTGGAGACTAAAGGATGTCCCTCAATCTCTGGCAAATCAGATTTCGTTTGGGGACGCCTTTACTATTGCGATACGAAAGCTCTTTCCCACAGCAATATTCCTTTTCTCACGAAAAGAATGTCGTAAGACAAAATCTAGGGGTTAGTAGTAATTAGCATCTATGAGACCTGACTGATAAGCAGTATAGATCGTGCATACCAAGGATGTCTTGAACTTTCGCACAGGGAAGCACCATATCTATTTTGGGCGACTCGTTTGGAAACACTCATTGCTGAAGAAATCTTCAAGATTCAATTCGAAGCATGTGCTGCGTTTTCGAGTGGATCACACGATATTGCCAAAAACCTGGGTATGAAAGTCTTTGAGATCAAGGATCCTGGCCACATCGGTAGAGACAAGAGGTCGCCTTGGGTATCACGAATCACAATGGAAGCGATTTCACAAGAGATTTCAGAAATTGACGGACGCAGTCCAGAAAGTGTTTACGAACTTCTTCGAACTGTCTTCCTCACTGGTAAGATTCTTGCCTTATTTAGAGATAACGCCGTCTTTTATGCTAACAATGCTTTAGCCCGTCCGGGTTGGAACCTCCCAGAATGGAGGCAAGAAGCTCCAATTTCGTTTCGGCGAATTGCTCGACTCAAAGCAATCGAGAAATCTCTTGATGATACTACCAAGAAGACCAAGTACGAGGGAGGTGTTGAGTCAGAACCAGCAACAGAGCCATGGCAGCTCGCATCCCAGAGATGCGAAGAGTCACGTAAAAGACGCAATGAGCATGTCAGGGCCAATTATAATGGCCTTGACATCGACGCAAGGAATTCAAAGATCGAATGGCAGAAAGAATACCGTCGACGACATGGAGAGGAGAGCAATAGGAAGAGACGGGAAAAACGAGCGAAAGAATGCGATGCCGCAGGTGTGAAGAAAGAGAAAGGGGAGCCTCGGGGATCGTATTCCAAATCAGCAAAAGACTTTCGAGAACTTAAAGCTACTCAAGAACAACAACAACAACAGTCATGAGTAGGAAAGAGAGTCATGTTGCAAGGTATCTTAGTGTCACGAACGCCTGCTGGCAAAGCCTCGGAGCATGGCTGCAGCGACTACCCCTACAGGGCGCCTGCGTGGCCGTAGGTGGTCTTACCTTAGATAGTCGTCGGGTAGCGACGCCTGCCTACGTAGCTGGATTCAACCATCTTCTCCAAATGCTTGTTTTCGCCTTTGGCCTTACACTTAGGAGTTTATTTCGGCGTGTCAGATCCTGCTACCCTCGGGATTGGCATGCCTCCAATTTTTGCTCAGGACTCCGGGGCGTAGATACTCCGCCCCGGCAGCGACTCGGTACCGGGCCAGTGCGCTACCCCTCTTACCCCCATTCATAGTAGAGAGTAATGGGTAAGTAAACAAACAAAAATGCATGGTGCGCTAATTCGGGGTGACCTCGGAATTACTGCACCCACTGGTGCCCTGGCGAAAAGAGAGCAAAAAAAAAATGAAATGTATCGGCCGGGAATCGAACCCGGGCCCAGCACATGGCAAGCGCTGATTGTACCACTCAACCACCGATACGTCTGTGATAAAGAAATACAGAAAATGTGTAATATATAGCAAATAATGCAACTATCTCTATCGCAGACTCACCTTCAACCAAGGTCAACTAAGGTTAAATACCTAAATCATGCGAAAACTAGCCTTGTTGCGCGATCTTAGGGCAGCCATTATCCTACTGGAGGAGTAAAGTCAGACCCTACTTTAATCCATATAGATGTCACCATTTGGTTGTGACTAAAATGGCTATGGCCAAGCCAAATTCCACTCAGCCACACGCAGCTGCAGTTACTTTCTATTGTGGAAGCGGTGTGGGTGCGAGCGCATCTTACCAGCTACGTACCTCGACCTACATTAAGTAACGCCTGCCCAAACCTTCACGCTCTTTGCGCACCTTATCACCCAATTCGGGTGGTAAGGCAGCAAGCTGCAAACTGAGCTTGGAGCATTCTCCTGTCCTCGTTACTAGCCAAGAACAATTCAGCGAAGCGATTGCAGACCGTCAAAACCAATCGAGCTACGACACCTCCTGTTGGCTGATTTGCTCTCTAAAGTTCAACAAAATCACATTTTTCAGCCTGGTTTTACCGCAGACCTCCTTATCTGATGACTTCTGACTCTTTCTCCACAACATTTAAAACACTTCGTGCCGGAACATTTCACCAATCCACAGCCCGCCTGGAACTCTGCGTGGTTGGTAGGAGATGTGTGATGTCTTTGTGTTTAAATAAGCAGCGGACATGGTTTTCTTTCTGTTGAGAATGAGATGTTGCAGTGATTCAGTCAAGTCTGCTGTGGTTCAGGACTAGTTGTCGCAAATGGATATATATACTGGGTCTTCTTCCTCGAACCTTTGAATTTGTCTGTTCATTCTCCTCCTGTTTCAAGTCAAACAATACAACAGACTTGAGTCAACCTCCAACACTTGAGTAACTCTTCCTCATATATATAAATAAAATCGATATCATGCCGCTACTTCAAATCTTCTTGGTTCGATACCAAAATCCTTCGAGCTTTATACCTCTGTTCGACATCTTTTGAGCTCAGACTCTCACTGATTGCCTTTGAGTTGTCGGCTGATTTTTTCAACAAGAGGTCTGTGTCTCTCACACATCTCCAACGGTGACTCCAATACTCGTCGCTTAGAACTGGGCGCTGAGACTGGATCGAAACGCATGTTCCTCCTTTTCCGGGTCATAAACTTGCCACCCCGAGTCCTTGCGGAGCAGCTTTCGCTCCGAGACGGCGCACAGGAAAAAGAAAGGTGCGCTGAGGGCGACCCTCCATCGCTGTCCAAACAGATGGCAGTTTCTAAAGGGTCAGCCAGTCTACGGTGAAACCATGCAGAAAAGGACTACTTACTTAGGGTTATAACACTAATCTCCTATAATATAGATATTAATATATAATAGTTATTAATTCTCTAGTAAAGATATATATTAGGTAGCAGCTCTCCCCTATATTTTGTAAATAGGCTATCACCCTAGTATCACCTACTACGTAGGATCACCCAGGCTCGCGCGACCCTTACCCGCGTCGCGCGAGCGTAAAGCGGCGCTCACCCTACGCTGGAAGAGGGGTGAGGCCGGGGCAGATTTTTGTCACCTTGGCATTTGAGGTGCATGTTTGTAAAAGCCAAAGTCTATCTTATTCCACGGTGTTGTGTGGGCGGTTTTTTAAAACATGTGCCTTTCGATAAACCTATCTATTTATCCTCATCTATGCTATACAAAGACGAAAACCAAGATACCCTACTGATAGGACTGTTCATTTACACGCTGTAAACTCACTAAAGATTCACACAGCTTCCCTTTATCGATCAGCAGAGAACAACAACGTCTTCATCGACGCCGTCAAAACCCTCACATTAAACTCGCCTTTATAATTCGCATTCGGACTCTTCTTCAACCCCCTAAGCTTGAAAACAGTCATCTGCGTCCCTCGTACACTATACTCGACCGTAAACACCACATCTCCGGGAATCTCCACAAATTGGCCCACGAACGCCATATTCGTCGTGCCTTTCGGAAGAACTTGTGGACGATCATTGTACTCGCGCGTAAGGAATTGGGATGTGAACCTAGTGACGGGTAGAATGATGGAATCGAATTGATTGCATAGTGTTCAATCTACGCCTGCTAGGGTATTGATTCTCGGGAACTTAGGGATGAACCTGCACAAATAACGCCTGTACTCTACTGTACTGTGCCATGGCTGGAAAGCGCACCTTCAACTCATTAGCATTTGTTGTTCTTGTGCCCGCACGTACTCTTTGTGTAGTGACTTTGAAAACATTTACATTGTAGCCCACAGAAACCAAAAGTTGGATTTGAAGAAAGTGTGATCGAAACACTCATTAATCGCATTACACCCAAGGCTTTTCTTGGGCTCAACCATCGTCCTCAATAAGTCCCACTTGTCCTTAATGCTGAGCCCGAAGCTCGTCACGTCTAGAACCTCTGGTTCCTGCCTTCCTTGAGCGATGAGTCTCGCATTCGCATGTGTCTTATTCGTCGGAATCTCGTTGAATTCATCAATCTCGACCATGACAGGCTTGTTCGGGTTCGAAAGGGATGGAACGATGGAGAGCAGATTGTAAAAGACACTTGTAGCTAAAGTTGATCATTCGCCCTCCTCTCAGGATACATCCCTTCGTAGGGTCACCGGCGCCATCCATCGCGCCACCGATCACGGTTGAAGATTCCAGGATGTGTATTTGAGGACCCGGGACGTGTGCACCGTGAATGAGATGGACTGCAGCAGCCAGAGAAGCAATGCCACCACCTATGAGATACGCGTTAGCTGAATCGGGATTGCGTGGCCCATGACTTGAATGGCCGGTATGAGAGGCGTTCTCGTCGCCATTCTGGAAAAGTAAGGCATATTGTAAAGATTGTAAGTTGTACTTGAAGGCCGCAAATGATAGCTCAGGCAGATAGGAAAGAACAAAAGTGAGAGTCAGGACCTCATAATCATGAATTGTAAGGGTCAAGCATTGTAGGAATAACATCCCGAAACTGTGTAACAGTGGCCTGATGTGTGGGTGACTTGTGGGTGACTTGCGGGTGACAAAAGAATCCGTGATCGTTGCGTGATGTTTTCTGGACCCTGAACGAGGCCTGACACTTCACTTTCTTTGCGAACAGATAATGTTGAGGCCTCGGAGCTCCCCGTGATCACGATGGTTAGTCGTGTTGAGTAATCATGAGAGGTTGTAATTTTCGATTGTTGAAATTAAAGAGGAGCGAACTCTGCGTGGGGTGTGGCATTAGAAAAAATTCTCCTATACTGCTACGTATTTTGGTGCCGGCGTAAACGCCACTATACTACCACCGATCCAACCCTTGCCACTGACTCAGTCCAGATAAGCATACACTCTTCGTGAAAGCATTGACGAAGTCATTGGCGTAATCTGCAAGACCACATTTGACATGCCCTGAGTGCATACCTGCGGCCAACTGATCCTTTGCGAGAAAGAAATAAGCTTGCAGGCCCGAAACAGGAATCTGCGGGGAGAGCAAGCAGCGCCGCAAGTTGAATCGACAATGGCTTGACCACGTGCTGAAGCGAAAACTCCGAGCATTCGAGGCGCATATTTGAATAAGTCGAGAGGAAGATTTGGCGACGCATTTCGGATGGAGAAGGAAGAGTCTGTCAGTGTATGGCCAAGTCTAAAAAGGATTTCATGCACACTTCCTGCAATCTCGGTATTAACATTGAGTGATTTGGTCAAACCGCCCTTTTGAGATATGGATTTGGAGCGGATACATACGTGCTTCGTAGTGGACTAGAAAGATCTAGCGAAGCGATTGATGCATCTACAAGCATTCTCAGCCATCATCGCGTAACTTACCTATATATCATGAATGGCTTCACGCACACTACATATTAGCCCGCAAGGCGCCTCAACATAACTAGGATCTTTTGTCTTATATTATTGGAATCGAAGCTGATGTTCCTTGGTTGAGATGCGCCTTCACTAGTCGGGCGCCGAATGTTCCTGGGCGGGAGTACTTTGCTGGCAACACTGCATTAGTACACATCGTTAGTTGAAGATGCTGAATAATGGCTTACCTTCCAGCTAGAAAACAAGCACTTTCGGCATGCACAACAGGGCGATCTCTCGTCCAGCCATGCATCAATTCAGTCGCTCTCAAGCATCTCATCGGTACTGCTACTCAGGTCTTCCTCGCCTTCGCTTGCTTGGTCCATCTCTTCATCACCATCCTCGAAGTTCTCTCCCATCTCCGCCTTTCTAGCGATCTCAGAAACATTCAATCGCCTCAACCTTCTTCGCTTTTTCTTCGCTGCCTTGATCTCTTCATCTTTCTGCCGCCTCCACGCTTCTTTATCGCGCTCCTTTATCTCCGCAATGGCACTATTTTGGCGCTCGACAGCAGTTGCCAAATGGGAAGAAAGTGAGGCATTTTGTGCTCGAAGTTCTGCAAGATCTGAGGAGTCTGGGGCAGTTATTCTCGGATTCTGCAAGACAGAGAATTCAGCAAGAGCTTCGTCAAGGAAAAAAGCTGGAAAGGACGGGTGGCTGAGGGCTTCGTGGAACGATGCATCACCATCGGATCCGGGAAGAGGGAAATTCGAGGTGAATTGTGCTGTGAATGTGTAATTAGAGGGCACCGGAGCGCCAGCGCTATTATGATCGCCATTGGCAAAGGTTTCGTAGCGAGGTTTGACAACGTTATGTAGTTTCAAGGCTGGCTTCGGGGCGTTGGGAAAGCTGCTTGGCTTGAGCATTTTCAGATTTGTGATCGGAGCCGAGAAATCCGCCAATTGCTTCCCAAATTGCCCTCTAGCAATATCCCATGTGCAAACTTTCCCATCTCGATGACCCGAGATCAGACTAGTGCCATCGTAGCTGATCTGCAGGCAGAGGACTGCTGAGCCTAAAACTTCGGCTGACCATCTAGCGGACTGTGCAGGCTGAGTGGCTGCAGACTGAGCAGCCGGGTCATGTAAGGATTGATTCATGTTCCCCTCCTTGTAGAAGTCCATGAGCTGTATGC